TATATACAAACGGCACAAAATCAAGCTGATCTCTTGTATTGCAGACCTGTAGGAAGTGTTTAGATTTATAATTGCAATTTTCACCATGACACTGTAAAGCGAACAGCATCGGTCTATGCCCAGGATAACTAACTAGCCTTACAGCCATAGGTACTTTGGGGAAAAAAGGGGAAGATATCAACTAATTAAAATCAATGCTTCCTTTTAATCTATTTATCATTTTGCTTCACTAAACTTGGAAGACTGAAATCAGATGATGTCAATTGCAGATGTGCAAGGACTTGGCGAGTTTCAAGTTTTCTGTCCTGCTGGGAAACATCTAAAGGTGGGCCTCAAACTGATTCAGAGCATTCACTCAATAGCACAAACCTTTAACCCAGTTCAACCACACAATTCTATATTTACCTCCCAAATGAAATAAATTAAAGTTTTAAAAAATGAATGACTACTTAAACGAACGTGACAAGTATATACAAAATTGTTATTATTAACATCATACACAAGGCACTTATTTAAGAGAGTACATCTTTTAGTCAGCCCAGCTCTTTGGATTTTCACCATCACAGATGCTTCCTAAAGTGACGCTTCTCCCTCCAGCTGCTCTAACCCCTGACACTATGCTCTTGGCTTATGTCATCACGGGGTTTTACTGGGCAGAAATAACAAAAAAGGTCAGAAAAAGAAAGAAGATCATCTTCTTAAGTGCTCATCTTCATTTGCTTATTTTCCTGCAGGGTTGGGGTTTTTTTTTCCTTCAATAAAGCAGTCCATTGAATAGACTCATTTCTCTCTCTGAGTGCCTTGGAAAGATATGCACTTTGAGCAGAGGACAAAACAAGACGTCTAAGCTAAAATACACATAAAGTCATGGCAGCTTTATGCTTTAAGAACATCACAGTGAAAAAGCTTTTTTTAAAGAAAAGAATATCAAAGATTAATTCTACTACCCTGCATCTGTCTCATTTAAGGATACAAAAACAGAAGACTGAAACTTACCTGCAGATATCTTACCAGTACCCTTATATTCTGCCACAGATAAATGTGCAAACCCATTAGCCGAACCAAGTTCTGACAGAGAAATTTGATAAGGTGGTCTCAGTTTGATTTCCGTCTGCATGTCAGCAAGATTCATCTTTGTTGACAAAGAACGTGTGTTGTTATATCTCTGTTTGGTCCTCTGAATGAAATTATCTGTGTAAAATTTAAATAAAAAGGTATATCCTTATGGAGTTTTGTTAATTAAATAATCCAAGACCATGCAGCTTTATGTACTACATACTTCATGAATTGAAACATATTGTTTGAAATGCTTGTATTTATCTTGGATTTTTTCATACTATTTCTGTTTTGTGACTAATATATCACAGGCTATTTAATTCTGCAGTAAAAAAAATAAAGCTCCAGAAATCTAATTACTTAATAACTGTGAATAAACTAATGACTTTTCACTGCATGAGACTGAACGTATTGCTAATACAATGGATTTATTGCACTTATTCTATCTTTTCCATTACTTTAGTAAACATCCTTATGAAATAATTAACTCCTGCATTCAAGTATAAACTTACTTGAGCATGAAACGTGCTTGCAAAATATTCAGGTGGAGAAAATTAACACCACATTATACAGGTATAGACTATAATAGACCTACATTCTAACTTAACAACTAGTAGAACAAAGGCAGCGTTGAGAAAAAAAAAAAACACCACCGGAGTGTTCATAGAAATCTTCGTAAGGAAGACAACAATGTTGTATAGAAATTGTTAAAAATTGCCTGACTGAATTATAGACAGGAATTAAGCAAGTGGAATAACTTCCCCCATATTTCTAAAACTGCAGTTCTTTTTGCTCTAATGCTTTTTATAAGAATATTTAAAATAACTGCCTAGCATATAGTATTAAAGCAACTGATATTAATGCAATCCGTAACAGCTGTTATCTGGTATATATAAGATTAGCTGTATTTGGAGCTTGTATGACATAAGATTAAATGCTTCACTATATCATAAAACAAATAAAAATCTCCCCCTTTCATGTACTGAACAAAAATTACAGCACAGCTAAGAGCAAACATGAAAATGCAATCTTTTACTTAAGATATTTATGAAGCTCAATGCCTTTACAGGTTAAGTATTTCAAGAGGTATGAAGTCAAACAACTCCTAGTATTATTAACTAGGAGAAGATGAACTCCAGACTTGGTCACACAAGGCTTAAACCAAAACCTAATGGAATGAAGAAAAAGATTATAAACAAGTCTGGATAAAACTCTAGTAACCTAATTTAATGCCCACAGAAGTACTGCTTTATTGATTCTAATGGGAGTTAAATCAGATTCTAAATCCACCTGAAACACAGCTATAAACTGCCTTGGACATTTTTGTTTTGTGTGCATTAAGTTGCACATCTATTTAAATACTCATTTGTCTTGGTGTCAAGGGAAAAAAAAGTCAGATCCTTACCAAACTCTATAAAACAGTACGGTCTGACAGCAGTATTTGTCTTCATCATATTGTAGGTAGTGATGAACTCTTTCTGAAGCTCATCCAGGAAGCAGAAAGCCAGAACACTGGGATAATTTTCAGTGCACAACATCATATAGCTTACTCCCAGAGAACTTATAAAGCTATAATTGAGACAACAAATTCAAAATTTAAAATTTAAATGCAGGTAATCAGCTGCTTCGCTAGTCTGATCTCATATTCTATAATCAGAAAAGCAAAAACTGCTCTGGGGTAGCAAAGGAATGAATGTTTACTGAAAAGTCCAATGCTATTCTAGAAGAAAAACTATTTACTTCTAGGCAATATTTTACTTTAACATCACATTGTACGATCATATGAGAAGCTGTGTTAATACATACACGTGTATGTATATATGTGTGTGTGTGTGTATACATATCTACACACTTTTACATACATGGAATAGAAAATAACATAAAGCTTTTGGGATACAGAAACACAGCAGGTTTGTCCCATAATAGCTTTTCATTCATCTCAATAGCAGAATTATGTGATCTGGTGCATCCCAAAAATACAAAAAACTTATCTTCAAATTGGTGGGGGAGGGCAGTTAGTTCTTTCTAAAGTATGTGAGGAAATAAACCTGTTCCATACAATACGGGATTCATCATTCTCCAAAGATAGCTGCAAGGATGACCAGAGATGGCAAATATGAAAATAGAAAGGGACAGTTTTGAAAATACTATTGCATGTAGGCAATTCATTAGAGTGCACGTTTTCTTGACACATTCAAATGTATTCAAAATCTTGATGGAGAAGTTACACTATTAGTCAAAGACAAAAGTAATAAAAAATGTCCTAAGCCTTATGTCTCATTCTTAGAAGTTTCTTTTAAGCTGATCAGTTTACAAGCCAACTACAGCTGAGGTTTTAAAAAAAAAAAAAAAATTACTGGAAAAATTTAGTCCCTGCTGGATCTACTCCTGAGAAATGCCGGAAACTCACACATACCAATGGGAGATGGAGAAGGCTGAGCACTTTCTAGGATCACTCAGCTGGTATACTTTCCACCACTGTCACATCTACATGTTTGCTAGACATTAGGATTCAGTTATCTCATTTAAAACAGCGTATCTAAATTAGAATCAGAATTTAGCTCAACTAAAGTACAACTGAATTACCAGCTCACACAGGTGCACCTAGTTACCAATATGAAGGAGAAAGGTCACATACAAAACAAAATTCTGGATAAACATAGATTCAAAGAATTATCTCGCAACAATCAAAGTTTCACGCTGCAAACAGGAAAAAAAGAGCATCTTCTGAACTATTAATGCGTGTTGTCATGCAGGTACACTATCAAATTGACTAGCTCAAAAAATTTAGGAATAGTTATTAAAACAAAAAGTCAAAACACAGAAGTGTAAAGAGAAAACAAAAAGCATTGTTGTGAAAGTGCTGGATGGAGCAGTAGGACAGGTAGGCTCCGCTCAACCATTCAAGACTTTACCAAATTATCTCACAACAATCAAAGTTTCACACTGCAAACAGGAAAAAAGAGCATCTTCTGAACTATTAATGCGTGTTGTCATGCAGGTACACTATCAAATTGACTAGCTCAAAAAATTTAGGAATAGTTATTAAAACAAAAAGTCAAAACACAGAAGTGTAAAGAGAAAACAAAAAGCATTGTTGTGAAAGTGCTGGATGGAGCAGTAGGACAGGTAGGCTCCGCTCAACCATTCAAGACTTTACCATGCACTGGCTTCACACTAGAAAAAACATTCCCACTCTTCCCACTCCCTGTGTGCCTGCTTCGGTTTTAGTGCTTGTTTGCTCTGAAGTCAACAGAAATCCTGAAGGTACAATGAAAGGGCCTAATTCCATAACACTCTAACCACAAGTTTTCAGAAAAACTGGGTTATGGAAGTATTTGGGTACATTTTAAAATTTGTGCAGACTAAAAAGAGAAAACAAATGAACAGTAGTTGAACTAGCATGGCAAAGAACAGGTCTGGTCATTTTCATGTACGAAACAACCTTGAAATTTAAAAAAGTATTTCTAGTAGCACTTTGATATTCATAAAAATACTGTCTATTTCAAACTCGAACTTCCACCAAAGTTTGAGCAGGTTACAAATCTTTCTACAATTTCCAATACATAAATACTGTCAAGAATTAATCCCAGTTTGATTAATCACTTCTAATGTGAACTGTTAACTTTTTAACTTACAGACACAACCCAGGATGTCAAAAATATATAAAAGAGAAGTCTTACTTTATATTATACTGCCCAGTTTTGAGAGTACATCTGTCAGGAAGCTGAGAAAGTTTTTTTGAGAGCATTTTAAAATATTTTCTACATTCTTGCATTCCCGTGCTCTGGTCATAATCAGTAGATGCAGACAGTGGGAGTCCATCCCTCACACGGACCACAGACGCAGATAAAATCATAGACATTGCCAAGAGAGTTAATGGCAACCTACGACAGAATACAAATCAGGAGGAATAAGAATTAAGGTAAAAGCAAAAATAATGGAGTCAACTGTGATTAACCAAATTTCCCAACCCGTATACTGGGCTCAGGCTTAAAATAGGGCACAAGGAGGATTTTCAGCTATAACTCAGATTAGAGTCCTAACTGAACAGGACCTACTAGTCTACGCGAACTACAAAGAAGGAGCACAGCCAATGTCACATTTTCAAATCTGAAATTTTCAAATTTTTATCTGAACTGCCATAAATCCTCACCTAGAGATACCTGTGGCGACTGAAACACTATTACTTAGCCTTTGGTACTATTATAGCATTTGCACCCTTCGAGCTGTGAGTCTTCTTGTTTAGTGAGACAACAATTATAGTCTAAACAAAGAACAACAGCTGGAGAGGAAAAGCATGTACTGTAAAGCTATGCCAGATGGAAAAGTGATCCAGGTCTTGATCAAGCAATAATATTAATGTGCTTTCATGAAACTGTGTTACTGAGTGCATGCCTAAGTACCCCAACAAACAGAGACTGACACAATTTATGTACTCTCAAATAGGAAATCAAGGATCAGGACAGAAAGGAATGTAATCCAGCTCTCCCAACCCACAAACCCACAGTGGAACTTCTTAAACCTGAAATGTCTTTCTTCTTATCTGGGTCTCCATTTTCTTTAAATCTGCAAAATGTGTCTATCAGTATTACACAAATACTGAGCAGGTTGAAATGGCGCTTGGAAAGCCTACATGCTTTTACAGTATTTCATTTTCAAAGCATAACAGTTAAAACTTTAAAAAGTTGTATATTAAAGCATTTCTCAATCAGAAGGAGAAAATTTATAGCAGATATTTAACAGTATAAACACACAGCCTGCAGACAGTCTTTCAAGACTGAAGACACATTTTTAAAACCTTCAAGTTCTTCAAAACCTTACGTTAAATCAAAGCATCCAAAAGATTAGCAAGACAAGCATTAAAAGAAGGATTTACTTATCTGCTAAGTATCAGTACAGAAATTTGTCCTCTTATGAGTGGGCAAACTGCTAGAATTTATATGAAGCCAAAAGCAAACACTTCCTCAACTCTTAACACTGCTCTGCAGACTCCTACCATATACTACACCTATCACTTAAGAAATTATGAAAAAAATAGATTTTTGCCTCCTTCAGACAATGCTACCCAAGCTACATAGAGTCACTAACTGCAAAAGAAAACAGATTTCTGAATACAGCTGAAATATGCTTTTGTGTGCAATACTGCCATGTTTACAGCAACTTTCAAATTATGACATTAAGGGTGCTTTACAAGCCTTAGCTACTGAAGGACTGTATTCTGAAAAGTTAAGAATCCCAATTTTCCCAAAATAGCACTGCCTCTTCATAAAAGAGAGGAAATAGAGAAAATAGAGGTTATATATACATCAGGATACTTACTGAATAATAATCAATATTCAGGTTTTTCAAGGGTATTTACTCCTCAGAGAGAAAGAGGCATATAATAATGAAAACATTGAAAATGTGTGGTAATTTTCAATTTAAGAAATTCAGCTTCAGCAGCAAACTTCAACCTGCTTTGAGATGCATCACATTAGCTAAACAAATTCCAAATTAATACCCTTGTATTTTACTTGTATAGCACATCAGACTTTCACCAAAGTCATAACAGCAGAAGCCACTGTTGCTTGTACTCTGCTGAATACCTCTGGGCTTTTATCAGGTAGGCTTGTTATTTCAGCACTTCGCTACAGAATTCCCTGTTGTACGAAGTGCTTTGATCAGCTGGACACAAACACAGAAAACAAAACAACTGTAGGACTCGCTCTAGATTAGCTTGCTGGAGTGAAGCATTCTAGAAACTAAACCTGCGGTTCTAGAAACTTTTACCTATCTCTATCTGAGGTCATGCACATGCTCCCAGCAGGACAATTCACAGGGAACACATGTGGCACCCGTTTTCTTAACTATGCTGCTAACCACATAACCACAGCAGCAGCTCAAGAGCATGACAAAATTGCACAGGAGCTTTAAATTGTAATGGTTCTCCAACAAAAACCACCTCTACCACTTGGAACTTGATCCTGAAAGGGACTTCTGGGAGCTCTATCAATATAAACATAAGAACAATGATGTGATAGCAAAGTTTAAAATTCCCCTTGTTAACTTACTTGCACAAAATGTAATTTCATGGATCTGCATTTCCTCTGATGAAGCAAATAACTTCATTAGCACCTAATGTGAAGAAAGGAACACAGCTCCATGTCCTGTTTTCAGAAAAGGCAGTGAATCAGACAGCACTGCAGGAGAAACTCAGAATCCTGTAGACAGCTCTCAGCAAGAAAAATATTGTTCTGTTCACTTTTTAAATGATCTTGATGGTTAAAGTTCATGTTGAGCTATCTGATGAGATAAGAACAGACACAAAAAGTTAATAAATGTATTTAATGGCTAACAATATTCTTCCGCTGTTTTTGTGAGGGCATGCTTTTTAGAAAGGCCTGAACACACCCCAGGGAGATTACTCAGAGGTACTCAAGTAAAAAGAAAACTAGAATAATAGAAAAATCAAAATGTTTCTATGTTCTTTAAGTGAAGTTGACAAAGTCCCATCACTGCAGCCATTTAAAATGGGAAATATGTATCTGTCTGTGCAGCACACGAGCAACTCAGGGTAATGTAACCTTTGACTCTGAATCCCATCATTCACCTCATACACTAAGTTTAATTAATCTATAATTTCCTCTGATCAGAAACCTGAAGACTTCAGGAACATAATACAACACAATCACATCTGTATTTCCAAAGCATTATGATTTTCAATATTCAATCTAACAACAGGTGCTTTACCACAACTAAGAACAAAGAATCTAAACGCCATTAACAACAGCATGTATGCAGAGACAACAGACAAAGCAAATTATAAAGACCCCTTTAGAGGTATTCTTTCAATTTTTGTGTTTATTCTATATCTAAATAAATATTTGTATAAACCTAGAACAAAAATGGTTACTTTCTTCAAAACTCCTACTTACATTTAGAGAAATTAGTCTAACAGAAGGTAAGCCTCCATTAAAACCTACCAAATCTCTTTGTGTACTATGACATCAGACAAGGTAAAAACTGCGTGCACAGTGATCACCAATCAATTAGGTGTTGATACTATCATCTTAAAAACCCACCCAGTGAAAATATGTTCTTTTTCCTCAGCTTCCTAACAGTGGAATCAGAAAGCTATCTAAAAAAATGAAGCTAGTAAAAGAAAAATCACTTTGATTGCAAGATCACACATATGTATAGAGATGTGTAATACCTATACTGTAACAAAACATTCAGCCTTACTTGAAAAGGTATTAATATAGAGAAAAAGTTTACTAAATCTTCAAAACGAAGGAGTACTTTACTCGGCTCTCAAAACAATAAGGCTCTGCAGAAGGAGCCAAGTGGTAAATTTGATATAGACTTATATAGGTAGAAATTGAAGAAAAAACATTAAAGATATGTTAGTGTTTTTAGGACTATCTTTAAATGTCTTTTTTAAACATCTATTCAAAACTGCACAAAGTAATTAACTATACCACTACAAATTTCATAGGTTCTTCTCTAAAAATCCTATATCCATCAAACACATAAAGATTACAAAAGACTGTAGTTCCACTACAAACGGTCTATAAATCCAGTACAGGTAGATAGAAATGAGCAGGGACTGGGTTCGCTATCTCCTTCTATGACAGAACTGAGGAGTATCAAATCCAACTGGCAGGTGTTAGGTTCACAGGTACCACAGATGGTTCTTCACAAAACACGCAGTTAGCCAGGGGAACTGCTTGTCACAGGAGGTTGTCAACGCTAAGACATTATGGGAATTCATGAGGCAACTGGAAAAGTTCACGAAAAACTACAAGGGTTATTAAAACCAAAGCACCACCCTTTGTTCAGTAAGATTCTGACCCTCAAATGATGACCAAGAGGGAGAGTACCCCATGGAAGTGTCACTCCACACTTGCGCTATTCTTACATTTCCCTGCGTGCTTCTGCTTCTAGCCCATCTTTACTGATTTCCCCTTACACTGATGCTTCACAGCCCTTCCTGCCAATGCGAACTGGGAGAACTCATGGGAAAGAGGAACATGGAGAAAGCTGGCCACAGACAGATATGAGTCAACTAGAACGGTCATTCTTCTGTTACTCTACCATCCCTAATTTATTATACATGTGTCAACCTCCACTGCTTTCACAAAAAGGAATTAGCATATATGGCTTCAGTTTCATTCCCTCCCATGAACAGGAAAACTCAGATGATGGAAACCAGAGCCTGTTTTACTGGACTTTTTTCTGTAAGACAGATTCAATTATCACTTCATTTGTTTGTGTGTTATGATGGCATCTGGTCCTGAGGCAACATCTAGAAAAGTCCTAGACAGTGGTATATGTTCCATTCTTCCTTTGTAACAAATTGATCTTCCAATTTGTGATCTGACAATAATTGGTTTATACCTATCTGATGTCTTTCATAACTTTTTTTTACAAGTAAGTCTTTGAAAGTGATCTGTGAATATGGTTTGCTCAGGATACTTCAATTTTTTAAGAACAGCCTAGTTTCGCAAAAATTGAGAGATTCTAAGCAGATCTAGTGTAATGACAAGCCTACCCTCCCGCACCTGCCGGCCTTCAGCACCAATTTAATCAAGGCATTTCTTGCCAGGATGTCTGCCTCTCACGATAACCTTCCATAAAATGTAAAATTGGGGAGCAGCTGCAAGCTGCACACCTGCTTGATGCAGAATGAAGATACAGTTTCTGTGCTTACTTCAAGTACACAAAATAGCATTGGAGAATTTATTGTCCCCCACTTTTGAGGGTTGTGACAGCTGCATTATGCAGGCAGGAGTCTTAATTTTTCTACTCTACAGCATACTTCAGAAATGTGTATTACAAACTACAGCACTACAGAAGGACACAACAAATAAAGCCACTTTGACATCGCCAGGTATGATCAGACAAGGAAATAATCCTAAACCACCAGCCCATATAATCCTTCCCATAAAGCAGACGAAGAAGTAATCTCGGAAACAGAATCAAGACTCTGAAAAACTAAGGGAAGAGAACAAGCTGCATCCCAAAGCCCGGGAACTTGAGCCCTTCCATCTACCCCTACTTATAGGGCAGCTTCAACAGGATCATTCGCACTATTTGCAACGGCAGCCAGAGCAGGAAGAAGCAACGTGTTTAGTGCCTTAAACGGGTTCGCACTGCTTCAGACGGCAAAGCTTCACACAAAACCGTCGATGCCTACGCAGCCAGGCAGGCC